TCATAAAAGTACTTAAAATAATTTATATTATCTATACTCTAAATGCTAGCAAAAAATATAATAATATTTCACTTAAAATTATTTATTTAATTTGATCAAATTAAATACTCTTATTTAATCATTAAATATTAAAAATAATTTCTTTAATAAAGATTGGAACACTTGTTTGTGTTGACCCTGTAAGTTCAATTTCCTATTAATTTTGTTTGCCTTTTTTATTTTGTTGCAATTATTGTTTTGTTTTTCAAAAACTCTCGTCCTAACTTTACATGATAAGTTTGAATTATATTCAATTGTATCTTTGAGAAGAATAACCTAGGTTGTTCTTTATATTACAAATCTAAGAAAAAAATTGGTAACTTTTATAGTGATTTGACAATGCTATCAGATCCTATTCTAAACAAAATGACAGTCAATTTCAATATGTTTGGTACATTCATGGAAAACTAAGTTTTTGGCAATGTGGAAAGCGACTTGGCTATCACAATGAAGATGCATAGGTTAAGAATGTGAGATACCAATGTTTCCTTTAACCATTTCAGCTTGCACATGGTGGTTGCCATGAAACGATATTCAACCTCAATAGATGAGTGTGAAGCCAATGGTTACTTCTTTGTTTTCCAAGAAACAAGAGAGTTATCTAAATAAGTAAGTCATCCTATGAGAGACTTGCAAGTAAGGGGACAACTTCCTTAATCTAAATCACACCATGTAGTCAATTGCAAATCATAGTTTTTGCTTAAAAACATACCTTGCCCTAGATTCCCTTGTAAGTATCAAATTATTCGCAACGCAACTTCCTAATGCTCTTGTTTAAGTTGTTGCATGAACTAAGGCAATATGTGGATGCAATAATAAAATTATGGTCGAGTAAAACAAAGGTAAACGAGGCATCCCACCAATCGTCTGTATTGAACACGATGAGATAATTCTTATCCCTTAGCAAGATCCAAATGGTGATTTTGCTCTATGGGAGTACTTGATGGTTTTGCTCCTAAAAGTCTTGTTTCTCCTATGATATCTAAAGCATGATTTTGTTGACAAAGAAAAATTTCACTAGAAGACCGAGCCACTTCAACACCTAAGAAATATTTGAGTTTTTCTAAATCTTTCATATGGAAGCAAGTATGCAAATAATCCTTGGAGAAGTTAATAGTTACATGATCTTTTCTAGAAATGATGAGGTCATCCGCATAAACCAAAACTACAAGGAACAAGTCTTGTTTTTGCAAAACAAAAAGAAAAAAATGATTGTTTGAACCCGTATTCTTCTAACGTAGCAGACAACTTTGCAAACTAACACCTAAGAACTCACTTAAGCCCATAGAGAGACTTCTTCAGTTGATGAATCATCTCAAGATTGTGAACAACTAAAATGAGTAGTGGCTTCATATACACCTTTTCTTCAAGTCCCCATGCATGAATGCATTGTGAACATCCATTTGATATAATTTCCAATCTTTTGTAGCCTCTACTACCAACATTGTATGCACAATCACAATAACTAGAGCAAATGTCTTGATGTAATTAATCCTTTCCACCTGACGATTGCCAAAACTTTCTATTCTCCCATCATATTTATGTTTTATTTTGTAGACCTACTAACATTCAAGTGCTTTCTTCCCAGGCGGTAAGTGTGTTAATGCCCAAGTTCTATTATTTTTAAGAGCTCATATCTCATCTGCCATGACCTCCCTCTAACTACTATCCTTTGCTGCTTCACAATAAGAAAATAGTTCCTTTTCATCTAAAATATAGGCAAGAAAAATACATTTTTGGAGAAAAATTATTATAATCCACATAATGTGATATGGGATAAGGACCACTTGAGCATACTATTGATGAGGATGAATCGTTGGATGGACTCATTCTTCTCATGGATGAATGAATGATTGTTTTACTCTGCGTCCTTTACCCAAAAAGAGTTCTTCTAGTGGCACTGATGTGTTGATGGATGCATCTATCGCATTAAAAACCATCTATTAAATTGGTTTCTCATTTGGTTCACCCCCTCTACCATCTACTACAGTTACATTTTCTACAAAATTTTGTTAAGACACTTCACAAGCTACCTCTTCTACAAATTTGGTGAAACTCCCAATATTATGGTCATCTTGTTCTTTAGGTTCATTTTCACTAGCAACAAAGTGCAGTGACTCAACGAATTTTTCATCTCCAAAGGCAAAGATCTCTCGTGTGTCCAAACTAAACAACTTCCACCCCTTGTTACCAAATAGATACCTAATGAAGACATATTTTCTACTTTGACTTGCAAATTTATCTCCTTTTCTTCCTTGATGATGTGTATATATGGGTTTTTATCCATGCAACGTCTCATAAGGAGTTTTTCCATTCAACATTGTGGTTGGTGTTCAATATTAGATAACTTGCAACCAAAATACATTCTGCCCATAATTCAATGGGAAGATTTCTTTTGAATCACAATGCTTATGCCACATTCAAAATATGTCTATGTTTCCAACCCACTATTTTGTTGAGAAGTTGTAGTGGAAGATGTTTGAAAAATAAGTCCATGGTCAAGGAAATATTTTCTCATGCATGTGAACTCAGTGTCATTATTACTTTGAAATATTTTTACTTGTTTCTAAAACTGCCTCTTAACCAAGGTGAATTTTTTTTTTGAAGTGTTTATGACATTTCTCTTTTATGGTCAATAAATATATCCATATGGCACGTGAATAATCATAAAAAATTGTCAAGAAATAGAAAGCACCACAAGTTGAAAGGGTCCTATACGCTCCCTATAAATCACAATGGATCAATTCAAATGCACCACTAGCTTTATGTTCACTTTAAGGAAATTTCTCCCTGGTTTTCTTTACTCTAAGACAAATATCACATGCTTTATCTACTATCATGCCATTTTTTTTATGTTTGCTAGCTTTAGGAATTATCTAAGTAATATTCATTGATGAGTGTCCCATTTGTTTATGCCACAAATCCATCGAGAATTAAGAAAATAATATCAAATTGCATTGCAATTCAAGAACATTGAGAATGTTAGTCAATTTCAAGCTTATATCTAGCACAACAACTCCTTCTTTTGTTGCTGTCATGCGTTGTCCATCAGGGAGTCCCACTTGAAAACTTTTAATATTGTACAAATCATGCATAATGTTTAGGTTCCCTGTCATGTGGTTTGATGTTGCTCTCACCTTTCATCTTCTTACTACAACTTTTTTATTAACCTTTTAACAAATCTATCAGCATCTGCCATTAATAAATAGTTAGTCCACCCAAGCCAGAATTACCTTCTCTTGAGTGGATCATCTCAGAGCCTACTTTGCCATTTTGGACAACCATTTTCAAAGCCTTAACTAGACTCTGATACCATAAAGAACTCTAATTTGGAAAAGAACTATCTTGTTCTGTCATTCATCTATTTGCAAATACATTAATGTATATACATCAATGATATCTCAAAATCTGTCATAAAAATCTTTAAGAATCTTTCTATAAATATCCTAAAAGTCTTAAAGAATCTCTCTAGAAATCTTTACTAAAAATCTGTTTGATACACTAATTGATTTATAAACAAGATATACCTGATGTTTAGTGGAGTTAGTTTTAGTCAGAACAACTTTGAAAGTAGAAGTATTGGTAGTCATTCGTGCAACTTAGCTTACTTGTGATCATGGTTAGATGTCTCTTTGGTTAGAGTCGGACTCTTTGCTTGTGATCAAGGCTTTCTATGATCCTTCTTTAGTGCCTTGACACCTTAGTGTTTAGTGGTTGAATACACTTGATTATATTATGAGTATGAGGTTTCGATTCTCTCATGCATATAAGGAAGGAAATGATTGTGCTGATAGTTTAGCAATGTTTGGTCTTAGACATCTTGGTTCTTTTTGGTGGACTTCTATTCCTTCTTATATTGTATCTTTTTACTTTAAGGAGAGGTGTGGTCTTCCACACTTTAGGTTCTCATAGGGTGGGTTGCAGATACTTTTTGTACTTGTTTTTTCATATATGTTTAGTGTTATATAGTCTTTTTGATATGCTGTAGATGATTGTTGTGGGGTGAGGTGTTGACCTAGTTAAGATTTCTTCTCCACATTGTGATGCCTTAACGTATCTATCTTTTTTTATTTTATTTTATTTTATTTTATTTATTTATTTAAAAAAAAGATATACATGATAATCTTATTAAGCTAGATAATCTTTTAGTATAAAATATGTTAAATAATCTTATTACTTATTCTCTTACCTCAAGGAATGCTAGCCAAAAGATGTAGAACTCCGGTGTGATCTCATTACAAAAAATGTTACATATAATGAATTACAAATTTTTTTACTATAGATATAATTTATGTAAGTATAAACCTATTTGACACATACTCACAATTTGAATGTTGATTTTGAATGAGATTCAATAAAATATATTGTGCCATTATAGCCTATATCTACACTTTTTAACAATTAAAAATTGACTCTCCTTTCAAAACTTCTCTTTTATTTTATTTTATTTTATTTTTATTTTTTAAATCAACTTACTTATTTAATAAATAAAACAATTAAAACATATTAAAATTAAAAGCATTCTTCTCCATGTAATATAGTAAATGTAATAATATAACCTTTAATAGTTAAATAAAACACTCATAATTATATAAAAAGCATTTGAATTATTTTTTAAAATCTAATTAATTATTATTATTATTATTTGTTTAACCTTATGAAAATTGTGAAAGTTTGTTTATTTCTTATTTTAGATATCAAATATTTTATAATAACTAATTTTAAATTTAAAAAACTAAATTGTGTTATTTAGTATGACAACAATTTCAAATTTAGAATATAAAATATCTTAAACTATATTAATTATACACTTTTTTTTAATAGAAACCAGTTTATCAGTTCATTAAGTGAGACTGTGATTCAACAGTTAAATAATGAAATCACTAAAGATTAACCATAGTTTCAATTTTAATAATTAATAAATAAAAAAATGTATAGAAAGCATGCTAGTGCCTAGTGCAGTGGAAGTAGAACTGTAGGGGAAGTGAAACATGCGGTGCCAGCTAAGCTGGATGTCGGTTCCTCAATAATCCTCGTTCCCTGTCCCATGCCATCATCCAGTGGTTAGGGTTGGAGAACTTGTGTGCACTCACTTTCCTTTCTTTTCTTCTTTCTTCACACTCTCACTCACCATTGCCCTTTGGATCGCTCTAAGCACCACGTCCTTTTCGATCCACATTTCAGCGTGGTATGCTGTTTTTTTTGTTCCCTTTATTGCTTTTTCTGATGCCTTAGCATTTGTCTCTTATTCTCGTTACCTGTTCTGGGATTCCGAGGGTTGGGTTTTGAAGAAGCTTCCAAAACCCTGTGCGTGAACAATTCATTCCCCATTTCCCACCAACATTCCAAAGATCTTACTTTCTTCAATTGTGTTTTTAGTTGCTTCCCCAACATTTAAAGATAGCAAAACTCAAGATTTGCCCCTTAACCAAAATCCTTTTTATTTATTTATTTATTTTTTTTAAAAGTTTCCTATAGACATATTTAAGGTTAGGACATGTGGTAAAAACAGTCGAATCTGGGGAATTTTCCAGAAACAAACACATTATAATGACAGGGCATGTAATTTTATATTATAATGTTTTTTTTAGTAATGCTTAGTTCTTTACAATTGAAATATCTTCTTATATGCTGTTTTACTTTTAACAGATAAAGGGTATGTTTTCCTTTTTCTTCTTGTGTTTGACATGATAACTTTGCATTCTTCAAATATCCTTTACTATTGTAAGTTCAATTAAAATGCTTATTTTGTATTACTTTTGAATCTGATAAAAGAGTTGTTTGTGCTTTTGTTTGGATTGTAAGTTAAAATTAATAACTTTATTTTGAGGCTGGAAACATGGTGTGTAAGTCTTCATTAATTTGGAGAGTTTTAGTGGAAGATTGATTATATGACTTATGATCATGGAATTAAGCAATTTAGAAGGTTTAAGATGAAATGTGTGAATCCTTATTTACATTTTTCTGGTTCTCTTGTTTCCATCCCTTGGCATTTTAGAATGTTTGCTGAAGAGTTACAAATCAGTGATAAATTTGATATATGCCTCTCGTATAAGCAGTGACAATTTTGAGTGATAAATATACTGCTTCATGTAGACAAGTGAAATAGTATTTGTTGTGGAGTTCAGCACAGAATTTAGTTCAATTTGTGTTTAATGTCTAAATCTGATTGATATCCAATATTTTCCTTGACTGTTATCATATTTATTTTGCAGTGTATAAGTCATCATGCTGTTGTGACTGTTAAAGACAGTGCAGTGTGGGGAAAGAGCCTTGTGATTACTTGTTTGAGACTAGTAAGGAAGGAAGCAAGAGGATGTCAAACAGTAGGAACACTCATTGGTGTTATAGTTGCAGGAGGCCAGTTCGGCTGGGACGACGAGATATGGTTTGTCCTAGCTGCAACGAGGGATTTGTTCATGAACTTAATGATATGGTGCATGTTAATCCTTTTGACTTATTTGGAATGGACAACAATGAGGAACGAGACCAAAGGCTTGGACTCATGGAAACTTTCTCTGCCTTTATGAGGCATCAAATGGCGGATCGTGGAAGAAGCCGAGATATCAGGGCGCGAACAGATTCAAATCCTGAACACAGTTCTGGGTTTGCTCCTCTTTTGATCTTTGGTGGCCAGATTCCTTTCAGATTGTCCGGACACGGTGGCTTTGAGGCGCTGTTCAACGGTGCTCCTGGAATCGGTCTGACACGAGGAAACACCGGCGATTATTTTATTGGTCCTGGACTAGAAGAACTGTTTGAACAGCTTTCAGCTAACAACAGGCAAGGTCCCCCACCGGCGGCGAGGTCCTCCATCGATGCAATGCCTACCATCAAGATCACTCAGAGGCATCTTCGTTCAGATTCACACTGTCCAGTGTGCAAAGATAAATTTGAGCTGGGATCTGAAGCAAGACAAATGCCTTGCAACCATTTGTATCACTCAGATTGTATTGTTCCATGGTTGGTGCAGCATAACTCTTGCCCTGTTTGCCGCCAAGAACTGCCGCCACAAGGATTGAGTAGTAACCGAGGTGCAAATGGTAGGAGCAGAAGTGGAAGGGTTAGTGGTAGTGGTAGGGAGAGCCAGGGAAGGAGAAATCCGTTTTCCTTTTTGTGGCCTTTCCGTTCTTCTAACTCTAGCAGCAATGATGAAGCAACTGGAAGCAGCACAACAACACCACCAACTATCCCTGATAATAGCCATCATGCAGGGTACTCTGGGTGGCCATTTGAATGACTTAGTGTGAGTAGAACATTTTCTTTTGTTTGTTATTCTACTCCTGTTGATTGAAAGATCTTGTGGACTGATGCTGCATGCTTGGGGTGAAAACAGTTTGAGATCTTAGTCTACCAGTCTGGATTTGCTTTCTAAAGTTGTGAACTATTTTGTATAAAAATGGTTATTTATGCATAATTGTTTGAATTTACTATCCAACATAGCAAGTGTTTTTTGTTTAATAGAAATTATTTCATATAAATTTGACTAAGGGTGTATTTGGGAAATCTGTTGACATTAAATTGTTTCAATAATCGATTATAGGAATAATCGTTTATTGTAATCGATTATAATTTGTTGGGAAAACGATTACGAGATATTTACTTTTGTTTGGAAATAATAATAAAATTAATTTCTATGTAGTAAACTAGCTTAAAAGAAAAAAAATCAGCTTAAGAGAAAAAAAATGATATTGAGATTATAATCAATACAAAACAGGCTCTAAGCACCTTTAAGAAAAAACTTATAATTAATGTCATCAAAGTGATTTAGCTTATTTGGTTGAATTGGTTGCGTAAGTGTTGGAAATTCTTTAGTATTAAATTAAGCTTGATTTCAATGAATAAAAGAAATACTGAAAATATGTTTTTATTCTCGCTATATTTCTTTTAATTTTGTTTAGTCCCTGGAAAATGTTTTGAACTATTTTGGTCCCTTTAATTTAAAAAATGCATCACTTTTGACTTTCAAAGTGGTATAGAAAGTGTTTAAAAATTGTTATAAAATATTATCTAAACCACTTTAAGGATTAAAATTGATGTATTTTTAAATTAGATGGGATTAAAATTGAACAAAAAAATTTTAAGAACTGAAATGGAGTTTGAAAGTTTGGAGGCATTAAAAATATATTTTATATAAAAAAAATATGTATAATTTTACAAGATATAATGAAATTCATTACAAATTATATGATTATTTTTTATTTTATTGTTCTATTTATTATTAATAATATTTAGGTGTATATTATAGGTATACACAAGTGATTATATTTATTTTAGTATGTTAGACAATTTAATCTTGTTTTATTCAATTGAGATAATGTTTACATGTGGTTGTGTATAAATGTTTTGTGGTGAAGTTAAAATATAAAATTTAACCTTTTCTTTTTCCTTATTAAGCATTTTTTTTATACGTAGAGTCTCTTTAACTTTTTGAGATAAAAGCGTTTAAATTAAACCTTCATAAAAAAGAACATGAAATCTTGACTGAGAGGGATGATAGTGATTTTCAGTTTTTAAGAAAAAAAAAATTGATTTTCGAACTTGGAAACATTTTGGGATCCTGTTAGTCAATGTTAAACTCATCGATAGGGAATGTGTATTTTTTTGATGCCTGTCATATCATCAGTAGATTACTCTCTGTGCTAGATATTTGTTGGTAATGAAAAAAGAAAGGCTAAAAAGCCTAATTTAGTTCTTTATAATATTTGTTTATTTTAATTTATTTTAATTTTAATTTTTTTTTAATTTAATCTCTAATAATTTAAATTATTGTAATGTCAGACTTCTGTCCAAATTATTTAAACGGAGTTAACTGTTGGCCACATGAATGTCAGGTGGATGTCACGTGGATGTTAGGTATAACGACCCGCCATGGTCCCTATACTTAGTGGAATCGCACTACTACTAGTTAACTAAGAGAATATTAAGCTGGATAACACATACATGCAGGTATATATATATACATAAAAGTAACAACTATGTTCCTAAATATAAAATATAACACTACATATGTACAATCATCCAAAATAATAATTCCTAGTGTCGGTCAAGCACAACCTACAGTTACCCTAGACGGTAACTCTGACACTAAGATAAAATTCTCATCTCGAGCGGTCACTTTAACTCCAAGCTATCCTTGACCTAGTCTCATCACATGGAAACAAAGGGTAAGCTAGAGTTCAAAAATCAATCATACAAGTACACACAACTTCTAAAGGAAAGGAAAATCATTTGGTTGAATGACACCAAATCTCAATATAACATGCATCATTCCTCGGTTACAGAAATCGGCAGCGCACAGCCCGTCTTGAGGAATGGCAGAATCCAAACAAAAACGCATCGGTTTATTCTTTTGAAAGATAAATCAAATAGAATTAGGTGCATCATACATCATACATGCATATGCATACAGATGATAGGTGTAATGAAAGATCACTTATTCTCTGTTTATCTAAAAAAATAAAAAAATAAAAAAAATTAAAAAAAATTAAAATTCAATACGGGCCGTATTCCTTTCAATACGGGCGTATTGAAGCAACCTTTGCCCTCCACTTGGGTCTAAGCCTTTCTAAGTCCAAAAATAGGTCCAAACACCACCAAAAATGTGTCTAGCTCCCTAATTAAATACCTTAGCCCAAAATTAAAAACATATGATCTAAAACACCCCATAATACACTTGTGCATAAAACTGCATACTTAATTTATCAAAGTTGCATGTGATGTCAACCAAGGTTATAAGCCATTCAATTCCCCAAGACTAAATCACAGCATCCCAGCGATAATAACATCATGTCCGATGTAAACATTGTTTGTTGTATTGTCCATTTAAAATCTTTGACCACCCATCTATATTTAACTTGCTGCCGTCTGCTACCATAACATGCATAGGCTCCAAATTGTCTATTCGACAACCTAACTTCTTGGCAATGTGGACGTCCAGGAAGTTGTGTGTACTGCCACTGTCTATAAGAATATGCAAGGGTTTCTTGTTGTAGTAACCAGTAATTCACATAATTTTGAAGTTGGGGATGCCTGTCAAGGCATGTACCGAAATTTGTGGTTCACCCATGTCAGCTGAGTCTGAATCAGGCAGTTCTTCTTCGAATGGTGGGTCAATCGATGCTTCTTCCACTTCAATAACATGTAGTTGTAGCTTCTTGTGTGTAAGGTTATGCGCCTGTGAGTATGGTTCATCACAGAAGTAACACAGTCCTTTTGATCTCCTATCAGCCATGTAGGTTGGAGTCAGATTTCTGTAAGGCTTTGCTTTATTCGAGGTGAATTCTGGCTGATTATACTTGACTTGGTCTGTTGATGTGGGCAGCAATGGTCTTGAATTCATAACGTTCTTGTTGTTTCTTGAATTCAAAGAGAAGGGTTTTGAGGCAATTGCCACCGGTCCCTGGGGTTGGGAAGCCTCATACATCTTTGCCAATGAGAATGCTCTCCGAACACTGTCAGGTCTAAACATGCGTACCATCATTTGGATTTCGTGTTTGAGTCCTCCCAAAAAGCAACTTAGCCGGTACTCCTTTGTAAAGTCTAATCTGGAAATTATTGCATCGAAGGCCTCATGATATTCGCTGACCCCTTTCTCCTGTCTTAACTTCATAAGTTCTGCCATGGGATCATCGCAAACATCTCCAAATCGGTCCTGCAACATCTTCGTATACTCCTCCCAAGACGGTTGTTGATTTGCCAAATTCTTGGAAATTGCCGTGTGCCACTGTAAAGCTTTGCCTTCAAGGTGAACAATTGCTAACCAGACCTTTACATCCTCAGGTGTGGCATCAATCAAGAAACAATTTTCGCATTGGTACATCCATTGATTGATGTTTTCACCGTTGAACCTCGGAAAATCAATTCTTGCAAGTCGTGTCCCACAAGAATATTGATTTGAGCCTCTGGCACCATTAGAATTTTTGCTAACGGAAGGTGAGTGACTTCCTGAATCAAACCGGGTCTTGAATAGGTCTTCCATCTTCTGTGATAATGCTTCAGATAAGGAATCTTGAATCGTGCCTGCAAGTTGCATTATCTGTTTATCAATCTGTGCTGACAGCTTGGTCTCCAATCGTTCTTCCATGTCTGCCATGCTGTGTTAGTTACGGGTTGTGGCCATGAATCGTTCTGATACCAATGTTATGACCAGAACTAGGAATTCAATAAGAATTCGAAGGACTAATAGAAAATAGGGACTCTATGTGAAGAAAAGAATCCGAATGTTATATTTGAAGAAGAAAGATGAGAATACCAATTTATGAATGAATTACTGTACCCCTAAAGCAGGATTAAAATACATTATATAGCCAACTGACTATAACCAATCCCCCACTACTCTATCTTATCTCTAATATATTTAAAATTACTAACTACTCTATCTTATCTCTAATATATTTAAAATTACTAACTACTCTATCTTATCTCTAATTTTGTAGATAAAGTATATTAAAAATTACTAATAAGGACTTGATTCTGTTTACATCATATCACATTGAACATGTTTAACTGGGTACTGAGAAACAGAATAAAGGAAAATGAGAGAGAAAAGAGAAAAATTGTGTCATTTCTTTTTCTACGCTCTTTAAGAAATAAAATGAACAAATGGTATCATTTCTCTTTGGTTGTTGGAGTTCATACCTTTAGTCTTCACAATGCAAGAAGACACAAAGCCCAAATCAGAAGAAAAATTAAATGCTGTATTCCAATCAGCAACCCTAAAATAAGAAAAGCAAACTTCATAATCAAATCGGTTTCAATTTTACACAATATTATGAGTCCATTTTAATGCATCATGTAATTGATAATAATGTTATACTTCACAAGTTTTATTCACCTGAAACTACATCTGAAGCCGCGACACATAAATTCATCACCATTAATTCAGAGGACTAACACACAACTTCTCTAACCTTAAATGTTTAAATAATTAAATAAGTATTACACAACCTCAATCAAGATTCAAGGACCCAAGCATAAGCAGTCAAAATAAAATATAAAAAAGTAACAAAGAAGAAGCATCTGATCATTTATCTTTCTCTCCACACTTTTTTCTCCTTTATTTCCACACTCTTTTTGGGATCATCTCTTATAACTTTAAAAAAAAATATATATATATATATAGAGAGATCCGTTTACTCCAGGAGTAAAGCTAGACTTACTCCGTTCAATAATTCATGTTCTACATCAAATTTCAACAACCAAGTTTGCAAATTTTTTAAAAATTTGAAAATCATTTAGTACTTCATTTCATTAATTTAAATTAACGGATAATCATATATATATATATACAAACGTGGGCAAATTTCTCAACTGGAACGGCCCGTTCCAAAATCGGAACGGCCCGTTCTCAAAAAGCAGAACGGCCCGTTCTGAAACCAGAACGGCCCGTTCTCAAACTCAGCAGAACGGCCCGTTCTCCCTCCGGAACGGCCCGTTCTCCTTGTTGGAACGGCCCGTTCTGGGCCCGTTCCCAACCTAAAATTTTAGCTTATTTTAAATGCTCAGAACGGCCCGTTCCACTTTCGGAACAGCCCGTTCCGAGTTACTCAAATGCCCCTAATACCTTTATAAAATTACGAAAATGCCATCAATAATTACGAAAATGCCATTACTAATAAAATTATCCTTTTAAGGAAATTGGGGTGTTACAGAGAACATTTGGTGTTTGATGTTTCTGATGTGTTCCTTGTTGGATGTTGTGCATGAATATGTAATTAATTTTGAAAATTGGTATGTATTAATGTGGATTAGAGTGCTCTATGAGTTCTTATGGGGAACCCTATGAGAAACAATTAGGGATATGATCATTTAACAAGAATCGAAGTGTTTAATGTGAAATTGAGTATGAATTTGTGTTCTAGAAGTTATTTGAAGTAATTGTACCGATTGATTTGCATGAATATGTGTTTTAATGTGAAAATCACGTAATTGCGAAGTCTGGAATGTAGGTTCATGCTGAGGGCGTTGGGTGCATTTTTTTCTGCTAGGCACAAATTAATCGGTTGGGCTAAGAAAGTTGAGTTGGGCTCAGGAAAATTGCGTCGGGTGCAGGAAAGTTGTGTCAGGCGTAGGAAAGTCACATCAAGCGCGTGTGAAGCTACGTCGCCAGATTTCTCAACTTTAGGCGCGACATTAAATTTGTCAGTCGCGCTCAAGGTGTGCCGGGTATGTTGCTCCACTTTTGGTGTGGCATTTAATTCACCAGGCGCGATTTGGGGCACATTGGGCGCGACCCATATAGATGTTTACATGTTTTCTTGTGTGTTTGGAGGTACAAATTGGATGTGAATTGTCTTGTACTAATTTGATATGAATTATGTGCTCTTATGAATGTTATGATGAAGAGAATCCCTATGTGCATGACCTTATGAATATGACTATGAGAAATGTGAAATGTGAATAAGTGACATGAGACATGATATGACAAGACAAGTGAAATGTTGAGTCCATGGATTTGTGAATGTGTGACATGCATCATATGCATTTATGTGATGGGTACGATATGGAGTACACCATTAGGGAAAGCCCTTCAGGTGAAATATCTCGGAAGAGTCTTAGGGTTAGGGGATAACACGGTTTGGAAGACCCAATTCTGTCCGTTTGTGTTCATGGGACGTATCTTGCATGGCTTCACTATCCCGATGAGACCTTAGCAGTATATCTTTCTAGTCGGGAGTACACGATTGAGCATGCATGTACCCTTAGACTACTCCAAGTATGTTGCTTCGATAACATACCAAGTGATCACTACTAGAAAATTGCAAAATAGCGATCAAAATTAGCGATCAAAATTTATCAATCGCTATTTAGTGACTGATTTAGCGACCGATTATGAAAATCAAAATAGCGACTGATTTAGCGACCAAAATAAGTTGTCGCTAGAAAATCGATCGCTATTTCGGTCGCTAAATAAGAAATTTTGATTTTTTAGTGACGAAATTAAATTCGGTCGCTATTTCAGTCGCTAAATTATATCGTCGCTAATTTTAACTAATATTTAGCGACCGAATTAAATTCTGTCGCTAAAAAAATCAAAATTTATAATTTAGCGACCGAAATAGCGACCGAATTTAATTCCACGTTCAAATCACGCTCGGTGTCCTTGAGACAGAGACTACTAAGAGTCTGGTGAAGCTAATGCGGAGAAGTCTTGTACAAACCTCCTATAGAAGCTTGCTAGACCATGAAAACTCCTAATGTCTCCAACACTCTTTGTAGTGGACCACTCTTATATGACCTTGATTTTCTCAAGGTCCACATGGACCCCATTAGGTCCTACTAAAAATCCTAGAAATATTTCAATCTACACAAAAGGTATACTTTTCTATGTTTCCAAAAGGATGATTATCCTTAATAATTGAAAAGACTTGCCTTAATTGTCCTAGATGATCACTTAGGGTCTTACTGTACACTAAAATAACATCAAAATAAACTGCAACAAATTTACCTATGCAATCAGTAAGTACATGATTCATGAGACACATGAAAGTGTTATGTGCATTAGTAAGCCCAAATGGCATAACAAGCCACTCATATAATCCAAACTTGGTCTTGAAAATGATTTTCCATTCATCTCCTTCTTTAATTCTTCTTTAATGATAGCCACTTTTAAGATCAACTTTGAAAAATATGGATACACCATGAAGTTCGTCAAATATGTCATCAAACGTAGGGATTGGGTGCTTATACTTAATAGTGATGTTTTTAGTGGCCTTACAATCACAACACATTCTCTATTTGCCATTTTTCTTAGGCACCAATAATGCAGGTACAACATAAGAACTTAGACTCTTTTGAATCCAATCTTTTTCCAGCAAACCATGAACTTGAGATTTTATTTCTTTTGTTTATTAGGGGTTAGTCCTATAAGATGTCCTATTGGGTAGGCTTACTCCATGGACTAAGTCAATTTGATGTTCTATCCCTAAAGGTGGAATTTATTAAGAGCCTTCTTGAGGAAATAGATCACCAAATTCTTTTAAACGATTTTGAATCCCTTGAGGTAGAATCTTACCCTCATTCTTTGTGGTAATGCAAGTTAGTGTCACTTTGCACTAGAGAAGATAAAGGGGTTATTCAAGATGGAGAGCTCTTTTACCCTCATAATGTATAACTTCATCTTTTGTTTATATTCCTAAACACTCATATTCTTTTGATGGAGTCTTTGGATCTTATCCATAAGCCCCCTTCCATAGTAGGAGGTTGTGTATCCCTTTCTCATGGCACTTTTGAGGTCATTCCAATATTTTACTCTAGGCTTATTGTGGAGCCCTTTCTCACACTCTAGGGAGGTCCACCAATACATGACATACCTTAGGAAGCTAAGGGTTACCAATGGAACATTTCTTCACTTACCTGGTGGCAAGCAAAGAGTTGTTTCACTTTCATCTCCCAGTCTAAGTATGCTTCCACATCATCTTTCTCGTGAAAGTGAAGAAGATCTACCTTGGATTTCTTTACCTTATGCTCCCTCTTAGGCTTGGGATTTCTAGGCTCTTGTTGGTAGTACTCACACATGTATAGACTATCATTTTAATGACACAAATCATGAATCTTGGTAGAACTACTACCATGTGAACTACTACCACTATTTTTCTTCTTTTTCTTTTCCAAGAGCTTTTCTTGTTCTCTAAATTGTTTCACCTCTTGTTCTAGCCTAGCTTCTATGTTTTCCATCTTAATTCTTTTTCTCTATTTTCTAACATTTCTTTTTTTCTCCAAAGCTTAAGTGTCTTTAGCTCATCATGAGTTTTTCATGATTTAGAGGAAAACTACAATCACTACCACTTTGGGAAGTGTATGAAGTGTTATTAGGCATGCTGCAAGTTTGTTAGAAAAAGGTTTTTCCTATTCTAAATGAAACGCAACCTAATGTATTGCTATAAGTCTTTAAAACCTCGTAAACACTCTAAAGCTTGACATGGAAAATAAAGAAACCAATAAAGAAAGTAAGGATTCAAGCTAGATATGTTTTTATGAGAAAGTTTGGGTGGACATGTGTGAGTCTCCCAACACACTTTAACAAGTACTAAAAAAAACTAATAAGAACTTTACAAACAAATTAGAATTTTTAAGTAGGCACTTAGAACCTCTCAAAACCACTTACAAGAGAAGAAAAAAAAAACCTTCATAAGACAAAAAAAAAATAAAATTAAAACTAAGGTCGTGAATGAAAAATAAGAAAATAAGTCTTCAGGTCTTCAAATCTTCTCCAACACAATAAACTAGCAAGATTCACAAGATACTACGTTGTGATAAGAACCTTGTTCACCTTCACAAATAAACTAGCACACAAAAACAACACTAGAAAAAAATTTAGAAGATAAACAACAAAAATAAAATTAAAAAATAAGTTAAACTCTAAATGAAATAGGCATGAAAAACTTAAACAGTAACAAGAATATAGACAAGCAAAAATTAAAGCACAATTTGGAAGCTAGAACATCAAAAGAGTAGTCTTAGAATTGGTTCTAAATTTGGATTACAAAAGTAAGAAAGACTAAAATCCACTTCCAAATATTTATTTATCATTAGTATTTTTTCTTGTGTTCCTTGTAATTTCTTTTGTATATTCTTGTTTTTTTTACACTTTTGTTTTTCTTTCTTTTGGAGATATTTTATGACTTCTTTATTTTTGTTTTAGGTACTGTTTCTTTGTAACAAACATGTACCAAAAAGAATAACACAAAATTGCAAGCAATTTAGAATTAGAGAAAAATTCAAAAGGACTTAAAAAATTGGTGAAAATAATGTAACTACTCTTGTTTTTTATTAGACCTTTGGAATTCAAAATTTTTGAACTTCAAAGAGAGAGTTCAAACATCATACTACTGTATCCTCAAGAGTTTTAAATGATTTACCAAAGTTTGAAATTAATTTGAATAGCAAAAATTTTAAGGAAACAATAAATAGTGAAAACTACTAGACTTAAGGAAACTCAACTCTACTAGAGCATGTCAATGATCTAATAAGAT